GCTAGTCATCACCACCCACCGCCAACTCTTGGGCTACTCTTTTACCAACGAATAGTGGGATTGACCGTCACATTATAACTCCCCCACGGCTGAAAGGGCGAGCATGTTTAGTGGGACAGGGAATTGAACCCGCAAGGTACACACAGAGAGTGGTTGTAAATAGAACCGAGAGTTTATTAATATAATCTATACTAAGAGTAAAAATACATTAAGATGTAACTACCTCAACCCAATCCAGTCTGTTACACGGTTAATTTTCACATCAGTAAATGAACCAATGTATGGTTTGACACACGAGTAATGTAGCGCACGGTAAGCTGCTCTCATCCAAGACAAAAAAGTGTCATTTGCAAGTTGTTTTGACACTGGGTCACAGTGTGATCTTTCTGTAATGTGCTGATTAGGCACAGAACAACAATATCATGCAAGATATGCTACTTCGACACAAAACGACAGCGTGACACGGAACGTGCTGCTTTGAAACGGAAGAACAGTGTGAACTAGGATATGCTACCTTAACACAGAACACCAGTGTGTCATACTACAAGCTGTTCCTATATAGAACAGCATTGAGTCACTCTGTAAGCTGCTTCGACACAGAATCATTACTGTGTGACACAAAAATATGCTGTTTTACAACAGAATAACAGTGTATCACATTTCCATCTTCTACCATACAGGACCGCAGTGTGACACAAAAATATGCTGTTTTACAACAGAATAACAGTGTATCACATTTCAATCTTCTACCACACAGGACCGCAGTGTGACACAAAAATATACTACTTCGACACGAGAAGTTCTGAAGCCCTAATTTTTGTACCTACGCCACTGTATGATTAAACTCCCAGCAGATATTTCATCCTCTCGTACTTAATACGAAAACTCCGAATATCTAATTGAATATTTGTTTTTACCTTAGTGAAAACAAAAGCTTCAATCTAACCTTGCTCATACATACTTCAATAGTAATCTAGGAACCTTCATTGTCACCCTGCAGCAGATATTTTCAGTGATATTGAACGTGTATTTTTTGATAAAACACCTAGCTTCAAATTGTTTGATAATTAACTAAGTCATAAGCAATTACAAAAATTTTCGATAGAAAACTTCGCTTCAAATTGCTTGTAAAATTAAATAAGAGTCATATTAAACATTTACAAGTGCGTATATTTTCGGTTTATATGAAACAATCTCTACTGTTAGAGTGCTTTCTGTCTACTATCAATTGCATATGATGCTCTTTATAAAGATATATAAGAACCTTTCTAGGACTTGCCAACTGGAACTTTCATACAACGTTCGATTCAGCGATTTTCATAATGTCAGTAACTATTATTCAGATTTAAACTACTTATAACCTTTTGAACTAAGCTTCATCGAAGGCTTTAGCGTTGTGACTGTTAACAGGCTAAACAAGAAATACTAGTTTGAATTATTTACTGCTCGAGTGGAGAACATGAGTAACATATCTAATGGCTCTTCCGAAGGAGTCACTTCTCACTTTCCCTATCAAAGAGTTTGCATGAACAGAGCCAGAAGAAAATGACAGAAAAGTACCAGAAGAAACTACATCAAATCGAAACTTGAGAATATATATTTTTTAAAGTTTTCTTGTCGAGATTGTCGCGTGGTTCTGAAAGTAAACCAGCCATAAACAAACAAAAAATCGTCTCTTTTCTCACGTGTGGAGTTTTTTCTTGTTACAGTAGCTGAATGTGGATGAGTAAACTAAATATTTTAAGGGTGTGTACCACGCCCAACAAGTGGCTTGTAATTTAACAAGCTGCATATTTTTGCATGTCCCCATTATATGAACTAATTCATTATAAATAATATATATTAAATCGTATATAATCTTTTATCAGTAGGAGACACGCAAAGAAGCCATTATATATCATTCCACCCACTAGGAGGTTTCCATAACTTTTCAGAAATAATGAGGCTGAAAATAACACATTGTTAGAAGATTGTATATGGTGATCATTTAGGCCTAATGTTTTTCATTACGAATGACTACTAGCTCTTCACTAGTAGTTTCAACTTAACTTCTCCTAACGACCTTAATCTCAACTAGTTTGGGGTCGGCCGGTATTTTTACAAGCCAAGAATTTTCACACCCGGGTGGTCGGCGCAAACGACAACCATATAGGACGATCATGTTCGGCGACGGGGATTCGAGCTCGTGACCCTAAGATTGCGAGTCGAGCGCCACAACTACCAAGTCATGCCAGGCCCTGCTTTCAACTTTACTGATCTTTTTATTTATATCTGTTGTTGTTGTTTTCCTGTGTTTTAGTATAGCAGCTCAGCACACAAACACATTTTTCAATCAAGCGAATCAGTTACTACAATTCGAGACTACTTGTAAACATGTCAGTTGTGAAATTACTTTGTAAAGACATGCTGTTGAGAATCCTTTGTTATTTCTATACATCGTTTAAACTCGATTGGCAAACCTGATTCAAAAAGTATAGTGGAACACTGGACAGGCTGAATCTCATTTTAATTGTTCTACAGCATCAGGCATGAGCTCTTTGTATACGACTGACGATTCCACGTGGTACATATTGTTACGTCTCGTGACGGTTCATCACGACTTTTCATGATGAAATTAACAATGTCTGCGTCATGAACGTGTCCTTTTTGCAAATGAAAAATGCA